CCATTTTTGAAGATATTGGACATCAAATCCATAACCTCGCTCGGAATGATCCCATCTCCGTAACGATTCTCTGTGCACACCATCATATACTTCGAGTGTATTTTTTCTACCCTCAGGCAGTCTATGCCTCTTGCAATGCTGCGTACGTCTTCAAGTAATGAGACCACCGCTGCATCAGGATGCAAGTGCATGTCCTTGATGGCCATCATCTTGGGGCGGACCTCCGCGATCTGCTGTTCACGGGAGGCGTTCATCACGCCGCGTGCAGGAGGACGCCACAAGCGCCAGCAGCAATCCTCGCCCAAACGGCTGGAGCCCAAACTCTAGTGACATTCAAAAACATGTGCAACAGAGGGTTGCGAATTCGAAATGATATGTTGCATTTGCAATGCACAACATTCTTGTAACGCTCGATACAATATTCTGAATGCGTTCGCACGCAAGTCTGGATCATGATTTCCGATATGCGTGATCCCGAAAATTCAAACACATGCATGCGTTTCTGGAGGCAACATCCAAGGAAAACCCGATGGAGCAGCTCTGTTTTCAAGTAAGCATATAGAAGATAGCGAAGTTAGCAACTTCGTTAACTCAAGCTATCTACCTCCAAATGCACCGCCCGGGTTAGCCGACTTAGTAACATTACTAATGGTTATAACCTACTTGCAACCTAGTTGCAACTTACTTATAACCTACTTACAACTGCTGCTAACAATTAGTAAGGCCGAGGGCCTTCAGGCAGCTCATCATGAAAGGGGGGGGGTCACTACCGGTTCGACCCCCCCCCCCTCGAAAACCGGGGGGGGGTCGCTACCGGTTCGAACCCCCCCCCCATCGAAAACCGAGTGGGGGTGCGGACAGTGGTGGGGGCGGTGTTGGTGGGGACAGTGGTGAGGGGATAGCGGGGCAGTGGTGGGGGCAGTGGGGCAGTGGGACAGTGGTGGGGACGGTAGTGGTGGGGACAGTGGTGGGGGCAATGGTGGGAACAGTGGGGGACAGTGGACAGTGGTGGTGACGGTGGTGGTGGGGACAGTGGTGTGGGGACAATGGGAATGAGGTGGAAACAGTGGGACAGTGGAGGGTACAATGGTGGTGGGGACAGTGGTGAAGGCGGTGGCGAGGACGGCGGTGGGACAATGGGACAGAGGTACAGTGGGGACAGTGGTGGGGACAGTGGGGACAGTGGTGGGAACAGTGGGACAGCTCAGTGGGACAGCGGAGGAGTCAGTGGGACAGTGGGGACAGTGGGGATAGTCGGGCAGTGGTTGGGGCCGTGGAGACAGTGGGGAGAGTGGAACCGTGGTGGGAACAGTTCTGGGGACAGCGGGGACAGTGCGACAGTGGTGGGGGCACTGGTGGGGACAGTAGGGGCGGTGGTGGAACCAGTGGGGACAGTGGTGGTGAGGACAGTGGTGCTGGGAACACCAGTGGGGGATGTGATGCGGACGGTGGTGGGGACCGGGAGTCGTTTGCTGGCGGTGAGTAGGGGGGGGGGGGGGGGGGGTTCGAACCGGTAGTGACCCCCTGTTTTCCGGTTCGGAGGGGGGGTGGGGGAGGGGTTCGAACCGGTAGTGACCCCACCCGGTTTTTCGAGCGGGAGGGGGGGGGGGAGGGGTTAGGAGGAGGGGGGGGTTTTGCCGGGGGAGAAGGGGGGGGGGAGGGGGTTCCAGCAGGGGGGGTGGATTTTCGGAGGGGGGGGGGGGGGGGGGGGGCGACCCCCGGGTTCCGGAGGAAAAGGTTGGCAATTTTCCACAGTAGAGCGGCGGTGGATCACGCTCTCTCATATATATAATTATCACACCCAATGGCACCAGGAGAGCTTGAGCGGCCCACGTCTCCCTTGCACCCCAATTGGGGGACAAGCGTGTTTGGATCAGGGGGCCGCAGCCCTTGCGCCAGGAGGAAGCCGCTTGCATGTCTCAGCTTCCCATTCGTAATGCCAGGTGGCAGATTTGCTGAATGGATCAGGGCTGTCAAATACTGCTGAGATACACTTCGGCGGAAAGCCGAAGAGCCGTTCTATCCGTGCCTTTGTCTCTGTGTGTCTCCCTATCAGAGTCTCTCTCTCTCTCTCTCTCTCTCTCTCTCTCTCTCTCTCTCTCTCTCTCATTCTCTCTCCCTCCTTCTCTCTCCCTCCTCCAATGTATCCCTATCTTTCTCAAGCCTATGTTCATCTGTCTGTCAATATGTATGTCTGACTCTCCTCGCGCACTGACGCACGGACCGTTTCCAATAACCTTCGTAACGCACTGAGCACTCTTAAGGCAACCAGCCTTCTTAAGGCAAAACCGCCCTCAGACTGTTGAAAAAATAGGCGGGGAAAAAATGTTTTTTCTTTCAACAGTCCTTCACGAGGGCTGTTGAACAACATATGCGGAAAACAAATGATTTTTTCAACAGCGCAAAACGCAATTTATAACATCGTCGTGTCTTTACTAAACTGTATTAGAGCATCGATTATAAAAATGGCGTCACAGGCTGTTGAAAAACACACACACACACACGAGCACACACACACACACACACGCGCGCGCACGCACGCACACACACACACACACGCACACACACACACACATTTTGTCCGTCTATTTGTTCAACAGTCCTCGTCGACGAGGGCTGTTGAAAAAATCATTTTTTCTCCGCTTATTTTTCCAACAGTCGCGGCGTGCGCGCCGCGACTGCATCGCTGTGGCGTTCGCCTTAAGAAGGCTCCCCCACCATGAGCCCGGATGCGTCTCAACATCCCTCGTCGACGAGGGCTGTTGAGAAGCATCCGGGCGCCCGTCGCCGGATGAGTCTCGACATCCCTCGTCGACGAGGGCCGTTGAGAAGCATCCGGGCACCCGTCGCCGGATGGGTCTCACCATCCCTCGTCGACGAGGGCTGTTGAGAAGCATCCGGGCACCCGTCGCCGGATGAGTCTCAACATCCCTCATCGACGAGGGCCGTTGAGAAGCATCCTGGCACCCGTCGCCGGATGAGTCTCAACATCCCTCGTCGACGAGGGCTGCAGAGAAGCCTCCGGGCACCCGTCGCCGGATGAGTCTCAACATCCTTCGTCGACGAGGGCCGTTGAGAAGCATCCGGGCACCCGTCGCCGGATGGGTCTCAACATCCCTCGTCGACGAGGGCCGTTGAGAAGCATCCGGGCACCCGTCGCCGGATGAGTCTCAACATCCCTTGTCGAAGAGGGCTGTCGTGAAGCATCCGGGCACCCGTCGCCAAATGAGTATCATCATCCCTCGTCGACGAGGGCTGTTGAGAAGCATCCGGGCACAAGTGGCCGGACGAATCTCAACATCCTTCGTCGACGAGGGCTGTTGAGAAGCATCCTGGGCACCCGTCGCCGGATGAGTCTCAACGTCCCTTGTCGACGAGGGCTGTTGAGAAGCACCCAGGCACCCGTCGCTGGATGAGTATCATCATCCTTCGTCGACGAGGGTTGTTGAGAAGCACCCAGGCGCCCGTCGCTGGATGAGTATCATCGTCCCTCGTCGGCGAGGGCTGTTGAGAAGCATCAGGGCGCCCGTCGCTGCATGAGTGTGAACATCCCTCGTCGACGAGGGCTGTTGAACGATATCCGGCAAGCGCCCGTTTGCTTCTCAACAGCCCTGGTCGAAGAAGGTTGTTGAGATTCATCCCGCGACAGACGCCTGGATGCTTCTCGACAGCCCTCGCCGACGATGGATGTTGAGCGGCATCCAGGCGCCCAGATATTAATTCATCATCCCGCTCGTCGATAACTGTTTACTGGTTGTCTTTCTTTGTATGCATGCGTGTAACCATTGAGATATATCGTCGCACAGACAGCATCATCAGTATATTCTCTCAACATGTACGTGTGTATACGCATGCATATATATATATATACACTTATGTATGTATGTAGATATGCCTTGTACGCAGACAGAAGTACGAGCACGTATATGTGTATATATGTGTTTACACAGACAGCTGTTGGGCCACATGCCGCAGTGCATACACATACTCATACACGTAATATGCACATCTACGTGAGCATGTACATATGCATATGCATTCGCATATTCGTGTATGTATGTAGGCGTGGCGTGCACACACACAGAGGTGCTCAAACACAAACGCTTACACACATGTGCACACATATGTGTGTGAGTGTACGTATCCCAATGAGCAATGCATTGCATATGCATATTGCTCCCATTTCCATTCTATGCTCGTGTGCATTGAGTGCATTGAGTGCATTGCTTTAGTGTATTGTTTGGCATTTGCATATTGCGCCCTTCCCCATTGCATTGCGTTTGTATTGAGCGTATGGATTCCCATTTTATGCTCGCGTGCATTTGCATCTTGCTTGAATTAACCAAACGTCCCCCATCTCTATATTTCACCCGCTCTCTCTCTCTCTCTCTCTCTCTCTCTCTCTCTCTCTCTCTCTCTCTCTCTCTCTCTCTCGATTACCCAAGCCACTCTGACGCTCGAGACGACCACTAGTCATTGCTGATTGTCCTGTCGAGACGACTGCCTGGCAGGGGCGCGCGGCCATGGGAAAACGCGCGAGTGTGCCGGACACGGCAGAGGGCCCTCCACCAGGGAAAAAAAACGAGAGGTCGGCCAAAGGCAAAAGCTGAGCCTGCAAACCAGGAGCCAGTGCCCGCCCAGTGGGCGAACCCGACCTGGCAGCCACAGCGCAGGTTTGAACGCAGAGGTCTGGCTGCAGCACCAGAACAACCTGACAACAGTCCTGGACCACCCAGTGTTCGCCGACGCCCGCACCACAGATCCACTGGGCATTGGCACCAGTGACGGTATGACGGATGGTGGCTACCAGAGTCCGTACGACAAAGACATGGCGGTGCACGCGCTGAAGAGCGCTGGAAAATACATGTGCGCTGTGAACATGCTTTGGGCCGACCCCTTACTTCAGCGCCAGCAACAAGATTCCGATCGTGTGGCAGAGCGTTTTGGACCTTAAATAATATTTCTCCAGTGAGCCCGCCGGCCTCCACTCAAGTATCCAGCTGGAGGTCGCAATTACCAAGGAGCAGCTGGGCGCGAAGGACTGGGGGCAACCTGGGACTTGGAAGAGGGTGAGCAGCGAGGAGATCGTGATGGCATTCTTTTCGAAAGTCTCAGACGATATAAAAGAGGGTAAATCAGAGGATCATCTCCAAAAGTGGCTTTACCACATCCTGACTGCACCGTTCACTTTCTTTGTGGTAGACGGAGACCTGCAGTGGTTCGCGGAGCAGCGGCGAGAGAACAACAGAGCCACGACAACATTGGCCAGAACCACGGTCCAGCGCATTTATGATGCGAACCAGCGTCGCCAGTCGTTGCCACAGGGCAAGAACACAGCGAAGGACGTGTTCGAACTATTCCAGGCCAACTTGAAGACCAGCTCGACGAGCGAGCCCGTCTCGCAGACGTTCGTCGATCGTGCTTTCGTTATTTGGGATCGGGGCCTCAGCAGGCAGGCGGTTTCAGAAGCAGTACTGGCGCAAGAATGCTTGCGGGATGAATCTATGTTCCACCACATTAGCAAACTGTGCACCATCATCACCAAAGCGAGGACCGAGGCGAACGTAGATTTCTGCTTCAACCTGTGCAACGACTACTACAAGGCAGGATTCTGAACAAAGACAAGTTATCCTTGAGTTCGTTGGAGGGGCGGAGCGATAAATCAATGCACGGCAAGAGCGTAGTCGACGTCTGGGTGCACAAACGGTTGATGAAAATGCATTTGCTCGAGGAGTTGCTCTCGACGAAAGACGCCCTCCCGACGTGCAAAAAATCATCAAGGATGTCTGCGGCGACTTCAGCATGTTCCGCAACAAGATGGGATGCCGCAACGACGCGGTCAACCCCGATTTGAGCTGGCGTGCAGGTTGGCCACGGTCCGCAGAGTTGTATCTCCAGTTGGTGGAGGAGCCTGGAAGTTCAGGCTCAGCCCCCAAGGGCAGCTGAGCAGACAGTAGACACTGACGGTGATGGTACAGTGGTCGGTGGTGACGGTGGTGCCGGGGATGGTAGTATCGCTGCGTTCAATGCACTGATCCATTGCACCGCCACCACCGCCGACCACTGCACCATCGCTGTCGGCGTCCACTGCGACCCTCCTCAGGAGGTGGTCTACCGCGCCACGTATGACCATGTGTTGCGCTCCGCCGTGGCCGGGTCTAAGAGCCCAGAAGATGCAGCTGATACTGGCGACATTGCCGCGGCGATCAAGCAGATCGACGACGCCCTCTCTCACGAGGAGACCGCCGCTAAGCCGAAGGAGCAGGTGGAGCAAGAGCAGATGCAGAAGCTGGCCGAAGAGGAACTCAACAAGCGGACGGAGCAAGAGAAGTGCCTCACAGCCGCGAAGGTGATGATCGAGCGCGCGAAGGCTGCTGGCAACAAGGATCTCGACAAGGAGGCAGAGGACTATATCAGAGACACGGAGATCGACTGCCGCCGGTTCATCGATTCGAACGTCCAGCTGTTCGTGACACCTGGATCCGTCAAGAAAGTCGCCGAGGCAATCGCGGGCAGCGCTGCGGGCAAGATCACTCTTCCAAGCCCGAAGTTCCGAGGCATCGTGTTCGACCCAGCGCTCCACGGCGAGGCGATTGCCTACCCGAACGTCCGGGCGCCGCCAGTCAACGCACCAATCCTGAAGGCACGCATCGCTTGAGGAGGAGGAGATTTCGAGGAGGAGGAGGAGAAGGAGGAGGAGGCGGAGGAGGAGGAGGAGGAGGGAGGAGGAGGAGGAGGAGGAGGAGGAGGAGGGCAATATGCAGGGCTCCAGGGCCCCTCTGGGGCCATCGTGGAAGGCCTGCTGGTCGCGCGGGCACGAGTCTTGAGAGGGGGAAGCCGTGTGCGACTCCAACTCTCCTGTTCGTCCCTCACTCTGCCTTGCATTCTGGCTCTTGTGCCCCTGCCAGACGCTTATCAATGGAAATATGGTGTCGCATGGCGAGGAGTACAAAAACTTGCTGCACCCACGGGACATGTACTTCTTCTTCGACAACATCATTCCGTACAACCAGCAGCAGGTCATGAAGGCCATCACCGACTCTGAGGGCAACGCGATCGAGGAGAAGTTTACGAAGCGGATCTACGTGAGCGTGGATGAGGACAGTCTCCGCAAGCGAAAGGGGTGCCTTCGCCCTGGTGTCACATTCGAACAAGTGGAGATCATGCAAATTGTCACCAGCGAGGACTTCGCAACGACGTTGCCCATGAAGCCGAGGAAGAACTTCAGCGGCAGCAATTTAGGCAACAAAATTGGTGATATCATGCTCCCTGATGTTGAGAGTTTATGGTCCTTGACGTGTAAGACCAAGATTGAGCTGATGGGAAAATACCGCGTGGCGGTTGGTGGCAAAACGCCTGACCATGAGGGCAAGAGGAAAGTCACTGCAGACACCGTCGAACCAGTATTTTGGCACTCACGTGCCCAGTCTTTGCTGAAGGAGCTCATCGAGTCCTACAACCTGGGGAGCATCGTGGATTTCACGACCGCAGACGGTACCATGGCACTGCTGTGCCTCCAGCTTCGCATTCCCTACTGCGGCTTCGTCCTGACAGAGAAGCACTTGACGCTGCTGAAGGAGCGCCTCGTCACCGCGATGATGGAGGGCGCGTGCACCGAGACCGAGGATTGTTTGTTTAAAGAATGCCCCAGTGCGACCCTACCTAGAAGTTGGAACCCCTAGGACAGCAGCATCAGTTGCTCTGCTCTGCTATGCTATGCTATGCCATGCGATGCTGCGCTATGCTATGCTATGCCATGCTATGCTATGCTGCGCTGTGTTATGCTATGATATGCTATGATATGATATGCTATGCTAAGCTAAGCTATGATATGTCATGCTGCGATGTGCTATGATAAGCTATTATATGTTATGATATGATATGCTAAGCCGCGGTATGCTCTGCTATGCAATGCTCTGCTATGGTATGTGTTACGTTGCTGCGCTATGATATGCTATGTTATGCTATGATTGGCTATACTATGCTATGTTATGCTAATGCTTGTGCTTTGCTTTGCTGTCGCTGCTGTTGGTTTGCCTTTGTTATGCTGCTATGCTATGCTATGCTATGCTGCGCTGTGGTATGCTGTGCTGTGCTGTGCTGAGCTGCGTTATGCTATGCTATGTTGCGCCATGCGATGCTATGCTGGGCTATGCTATGATATGCTGTGCTGCGCTATGCTATGCTACGCTATGCTATGCTATGATGTCCTCTGCTATGCTAAAACTCAGCGAAGCTAAGATGAAGGTAAGCTAAGCTAACATAAACCTGAGCTAAGATGAAGCTAAGCTAAGCTAATATGAACGAAGCTAAGCTAAGATGAGATAAACAACGCTAAGCTAAGGGGACGTAACTGGGGGAACCGCGGGGCGGATCCTGGGGGAACTGCCCAGGGCGATTTACACTGTCCGGCCCTTTAAGCCAAGAGGGTAAGAACCCTTCTAGGCAGAGCCTAGGTAGGGAATAAATCCACCGCTCTCGCTCTCTCTCTCTCTCTCTCTTTCCCCCTCTCGTTGGGTGGGCGTCCCAAGGCTTCGCCACGTTGCTGCCCGTTGCCCCTTGGTTGACGCCTTGTTGTCGCCTCGTGCGCTGAGTGGGCGTCCCGAGGGTTCGCCACGTTGCCGCCCGTTGCCCCTTGGATGCCGCCTTGTTGCCGCCTCGTGCGCTGGGTGGGCGTCCTGAGGGTTCGCCACGCTAGTGGCAGTTGCCACCTCATTGCCGCCTGGCGCGCTAGGAGGGGGTCCTCAAGATTCGCTGGAAAGAGAAAAAGGGAGAGAGAGAGAGAGAGAGAGTTAAAGGCGAGACGGATCGAGAGATGAGACAAATATAGAGAGAGAGGGAGAGAGAGAGAGAGAGAGAGAGAAAGAGAGAGAGCCACAAGAGCTGAACCCATTTTGGGCCCGCCGGTGGGTCCGCCTTCGGTTCAGTTGCCCCGAAAGTTGACCCCATTTGGGATTCGCCGACGGGCCCGATATCGCGCCTCCAGGTGTAAGAGAAATACGAAGTGATAGAACATAAAAGAAAGTCGGGAGGGCGGGGGGGCAGTCGTGTTACCCCCAGGAAAGGCGTATGAGGAGGATGGGGGGGTATGGGGGATCTTTAGTAGCTTTCGGACCACCCCGCCACCGTGCCTGGGTTTTGGGTGTGCTGCCTATTGGATGTTCGCTGGGATAGTTTGGGAGGCTTCTCGCTGGCCTTTTGGAAGCACTTTCGAAGCATCAATGACACTCCATCTTGAGATTGTGTATTGTAAACTACGCAGCATGCGTCACTTGATACGTACCATATATCATGATATAGATAATGTATAGCGTGCGTTGGCCAAGATGCGTTATGGCATACTGCTAAATACTGGTAACCAGACCAAGTCGTTGTATTTTGTGCAGGGTACAGTTACACCATGTCTTATAACATTGCGTTGGCATAGCTACGACTCTAAAGATAATCGTATCATAATGTATACCGAATTCTAGAAGCAATAGCTATATCAGTATATGAAAGCTTAGTAATGGCACTTATACATTGAATAGTTAGGAGGCTACTAAGTGTGTGTATAATGCTTATACGTACACTATAAAGTGTGCATTCGTAAGCATCTGTATTGGCACATATATAAGTAGTAGGCATTTGTAGATCGTGTGGTATAGCTTGTATTAGAGTATGGCGTCGTAGGTTAATGCGTGCGGCACATTATGAGTACATCGTGGCTACACATGTGAATATGTAGTGGTGTATAACAGCTGCTACAATGCTATAACTAGAACAATATAATGCATGTTACGCATGTTTTATATACTACATAGGAAGCGTGCAATATAATAATGTCGCGCAGGTGTTTAGTGTTGCGTTGTATAGCCTACAGAACTGCATGCGCAATGTCTCATTACTATGGTTATGTGTACTGTTGAACACGTGTGAACATACCCACACGATTAATGAAATATATACTAGCTGTAAGCATGTGTAGTAATATTAGTACCCATCGATTTACAAGTGGGCCGTTATCTATATAATAACAATGTTCAATCAACCCGCAGAATGAGGATGCACAATAAAAGGGCGCAAGGGTCATGGCGTTTGTCGAACGGAACGCAACCGAATACCGACGGTCGCAAGGGCACCATAACGCACCCCCATCCTTGCCGAACTGCCGCCTGGAGCACAAGCAAAGACACCGCAAGGGTGCAAGCGCGCCGTTGAAGGTCGCGCGTCCCTGCGGGCGCGGCGCGTACCCTCAAGGGCATGCGCGGGCGGTGCCTACCTCGGTAACAAGGATGCGCCAGGGCGCCATGTCTTGCCCGCACACCCACGCGTTGCTCTTTATATGTGCGACGCTGCGCACATTGCGGCGGCAAGGATGCGCAAGGGCGGCCTGCCTGGCCCGCGCCCTTAGCGGCGCGCCCAAGGTGCGCGACGCGCTACAGACTGCGGCGACAAGGATGCGACGAGGGTTCCCTGCCTGGCCCGCGTGCTTTAGGCGGCGCCCCCAGCTGCGCCGCGCCGCGCACAGCGCGGTGGCAAGGATGCGCAAGGGCGCCCTGCATGGCCCGCATCTTCTGGTGGAGCCCCCAAGCGCGCCACGCTGTGCGCGCGTCGCGCGCTGCCCTAGTTGATCAACATGTAGGAAACACAATGCCAAGCTCAAATATCCAATCGGTCACAGCTAAGGGTTCACTTGAGTGCCCAGGTCAACATTGCGACATTCCCACTGTGACCAATTTAATGCAACGCGCGCCACGCGCGGCCGCGCGCGCGCACGCGCGCGCGCTGATCAACTTGATCAATGTGTACGACAACCCATGTTAACTCCGAAATCCAATCGGTCACCGCTAAGTGTTCACTTTAGTTCCCAGGCCAACATGGCGACTTTATAGTTGTGGGCAATACAAGCCCCACCACGAGCGGCCGCGCGCGCGCGCGCTGTCCCAATTCATCAACATGTAAGAAGCACCATGTGAACTTCGAAATCCCATCGGTCACCACTGAAGGCTGACTTTCGTTTGCATCACAACATTTCGATTTCCCAGTGTGGGCAACGCAAGGCTCGCAAGGCGCGACAGCACGCGCGCGCATGCGCGCGTCGCGCGCTGCTTCTTTTGACCAACATATACGAATACAAAGCTGACGTTCGAAACCCAACCGGTCAACGCTAAGGGGCAGTTTGTTTTCCAAGCGAACATGGCGATCTTCCCGTCGTGGGCAATGCCATGCTCACCTCGCGCTGCCCCGCGCGCGCACGCGCGCCGCGCGCTTAATTGATCATCAAGTCCGAAAACCCATGTTAACTCCGAAATCCAATCGGCCACCGCTAAGGGTTCACTTTAGTTCCCAGGCCAACATGGCGACTTCTGTATTGTGGGCAATGCACGCCTCGCCTCGAGCGGCCGCGCGCGTGCGAGTTTTGCACGCTGGCCAAATTCATAAACGTGTGCGGGAACCATGTTAACGTCGACATCCAATCGGCCACCGCTAAGGGCGCACTTTGGTTCCCAGGCCAATATGGTCACTTTCCCATTGTGGACAACGCAAGACCCACCACGCGCGGCCGCGCTGATCAGCTTGATCACTGTGTACGACAACCCATGTCAACTCCAAAATCCAAACGGTCACCGCTAAGTGTTCACTTTAGTTCCCAGGCCAACATGGCGATGTTATATCTGCGGGCAACACAAGCCTCACCACGAGCGGCCGCGCGCGCTGCCCTAATTCATCAACCGGTAAGAGGGAAAGATTAACTTCGAAATCCCATCGGTCACCACTGAAGGCTGACTTTCGTTTGCATGACAACATTTCGATTTCCCAGTGTGGACGGCGCAAGGTTCGCAAGGCTGCGCGGTAGCACGCGCGCGCATGCGCGCGTCGCGCGCTGCTTCTTTTGACCAACATATACGAATGCAAAGCTGACGTTCGAAACCCAATCGGTCACCGCTAAGGGTGCAGCTCGGTTTCCAAGCGAACGTCGCAATCTTCCCGCTGTGGACAATGCGATACTCACCTCGCGCGGCCCCGCGCGCGCGCACGCGCGCCGCGCGCTTAACTGCTCAGCAAGTCCGAAAACCCATGCTAACCCCGAAATCCAATCGGCCACCGCTACGGGTTCACTTTAGTCCCAGGCCAACATGGCGACTTCTGCACTGTGGGCAATGCACGCCTCGCCGCGAGCGGCCGCGCGCGCGCGTTGCACGCTGGCCCAATTCGTAAACATGCGCGGGAACCATGTTAACTTCGACATCCAATCGGCCATCGCTAAGGGCGCACTTTGGTTTCCAGGCCAACGGGGTCACTTTCCCATTGTGGACAGCGCAAGACCCACCGCGCGCGGCCGCACGCGCGCGTCGCACGGTGCTACATTTACCCAACATGTACGACATCCATGTTCACTTGGAAATCCAATCCGCCACCGCTAAGGGTTCATTTTATTCCCAAGCTAACATGGCGATCTTGTGCCGCGGGCAATGCAACGCTCACAACGAGCGGCCGCGCGCGCACTCGCGTCGCACGCAGCTCTACTTGATCAACACAGATGGACACAACACAATTGGAATGTCGAAATCCAGTCGGTCACCGCTGAGAGCGCACCTCCGTTTCCAAGCCAACATTCAGACATGTCCCAGCGTGGACAATA